TGGTGGTGAGGTGAGGAAAGTTGTAAGCCTCAGGCTACGGTGGGCTCGCCTCCCCATCAACAGGAGGCGAGAAATGATGGTGGTGGTTACTTATGACCCCACTGAAGATGAACATCAGTGGAGGGATGCAGGCAAGGCTGATGAGTCGGTTGCCTTCTATGACCTCCTATCACAGGTGCGAGCTAAAGTAGCCCCTCAGGATAGAGTAATCCTGTTGGGTGACTTTAATCCCTGAGTGAGTCGTGATGCAGGCTGCTGGGTTGGAGTGACTAGAAGTCATAGGCCAGATCAGCTCAATAATAACAGTAGGGGACTGCTAGACTTCTGTATAGCTCATGGGCTTGTAATCACCAACACGCTGTTCCATCATCGGCGCATCCACACAACGGCATGGATGCACGCCGGGTCCAAGCAAGGACTATATCGTGATGGACCATGCAAGCCCATGTCCTTGACACCAGGACCTACCATGGACCTGATCTGCTCACTGACCACTGGCTTGTCATCTGTAATAGGTGCCTGCAATTCTTCCACTCCGGTGGTGGATGTCCATCTAGGACCCCGTTTAAACCCATTGTGGCCTGGTCTCAACTAGCTGATGGTGAAGGTTACAAGTGAGAATTTCATCATCACCTGCAGCTGGAATTTGCATTGTCCCCCTCCCCTCCTGATGCCGAGATAATTGTGGGTGAGGTTTAGGACTCTAGCTTATGCAGCTGCAATGGTTTCTATGGGTACACAGTCCAAACCTCTCCAGCGACCCTAGCTGATCGAGGAGGTTTTCCGCCTGGCAGAGAAAAAACGACAGGCCAACTCTCACCATCTACAGCATCCAATGTCAGAGAAGGAGGAGGCTTACCGCAGCCTTCGCTCAGAGGTTCAGAGAGCTGTGCGGTGCTGCAAGGGTGAGTGGTGGTCGTGGGTTTCTGAGGAGATGGAATCTGCCTCAGTAGCCCATGATCACGAATTTCTCTTCAATTCCATCAAAACATTTACTTGCAGCGCCACACATATTACCATCCTTAAGGGAAAGAATGTTGAGCTGATCTCCGACCCTCAGGAACAGGTTTCCAGGTTTTCTGAACATATCTGAGATCTTTGGGGATGGAAAATCCAGAAAAAATTATGGGGCAAAGTGGGGATGACTGTTCAGGCTGCGGTACCTCAAATATTCGAAGTAGTTACTCCCTGTCAGTCGCTGGCTGAAGTGCCATCTGTTGAGGAAGTACAGAAGGCGATCCAGAGTCTGAGACCAGAAAAGCGCCGGCCAGAGCTGAAGGATGCCCTGGTGGTCCCCATCTTCAAGAAGGGGGACTGCACACACTGAAGTAACTACAGGGGCATCTGCCTCCTCAGTGTGCTGGGAAAGGTCCTGGCAAGGATTTTTCAACATTGCCTTGCCAGGCACGTGGAGGAGATGCTTGCGGAGACCCAATATGTTTCCAGTCCAGGGAGGTCCTGCACAGATGCCATATTTTGTCCGTTTGCTAAAGCAGAGGTGTAGGAAATTCCTACAGGACCTACATCTGTTTTATTGACATGGTCAAGGCCGATGATACCATCAATAGGCCTAGGCTCTGGGTTCTTTTTGGTATCGGAGTCCCTGATACGCTGCACACAATCATTTAGGACCTTCATGATGGTGGACAGGCCAAGGTAAAGCTGCATGGCTGGGAGTCAGAGCCATTCTCTGTTCACTTTAGGGTGTGACAGGGATGTCCTCTGGCTCCTACATTATTTAACATATTTTTCGACCAAATAGTTCAAGAAGCCTTCCATGGCTGTATCGGAGGAATCTCCATCTGGTACAGATACATTGGGAGGCGGATCGATGCCCGACTGCAGTCGAGGGATGGCCAACCATGTTAGGTATACTGATGATCTGGTGATTGCTGCTCACTCAGAGGAGGAGTTGGAGGTGTTGCTGCTCTATCTGGAGTGTGCCACTAAGAGGTGGAGCCTTACCATCAGCCCCACCAAAACGAAGTACCTGCCTCCACCCCCTTAACTCCGCATTGTTGATGGGGCAGTTTTGGAGAAATTGGAGAGTTTTGCAAGCCGGGCAGTATGCTTATGACCAGCTCCAGATTGACAGCAGAGGTCTCACTGAATCAGTCGAGCAGCATTATCTTTTCATCAGCTGGGTTGAAGCTAACCTGGTCTGTCGCTCCACATGAAGCTTCGGTCTTCTCGGCCATGGTCATGACCTCCGTTCTCTATGCTTGCGGAACGTAGACCCTGCTAATGGAACACCTTCGCCAGTTGGCCTGCCCACGATCCTTCCTGGGTTTAACCAAGCTGGATTGTGTAAGAAGCTCGCAAATCTTTGAAAGATCTGGACACAGTCCCATCAGTAAGCTCCTCCGTCAGACAAGGCTGCGTTGGCTGGGTCATATAGCCCGCATGCCCACCCACCACATGGCTAAACAGCTTTTGTTCGGCTGGATAGAGGGGGCTAAACGGGCGCGGTACGGGCTGGAGAAGAGATGGAGTGATGTGGTACAGGAGGACGTGGAGCTGAGTGGACTTGCCGATGACCGGCACCAGCGGTGTCAAGATCGGCCTCTATGGAGGCTCGTGAATGACGCTACTGGAGTAGTCGCCCTCCAACAACAACAACGGAGGGCAGAGGAGCGATGCTCACAACAACGAGTGGAGTGCTGTGCGACTAAACCACAGCAATTAGGCACGGTAAAGGGCACAGGTGGTGCATCGGCGAGCCATCTCAGTCACCCAACTCCTTGGCACCTGCTGGGTCTGCCCCTTGACCTCCTGCCAGCTGGCGTTCGATACTTCACGTGGCCATAACGTGTACATAGCCTGGCACAAGTGCCGTGGTGACGTCACCGCCACTTAGTGGCGAATGGCGGTTGTTGTTGTTGCGGCTATGGGGGGTAGGGCGAGGGGGGAGGTGCGGGGGAGGGGCTGTGGGGGGATAGTGGGAGGGGCTGTGGTGGTTGGCGCCGTCTGCGGGGGATTGGGGGGAGGGGCCGCGGGCTGCCGAATTCTCTGAATAAGTAAAAGGGGCCATGGGCTGATCGAGTTACACGTGGGGCAGTCGGTGAGTGACTGGGTGTGGTGGTGGTGGTTGTTGTGATGGTGGTTGTGGTGGCGTTGATGGTTGTGGTGGTGGTGGTAACAGCTTTAACGATTGTGGTAGTTGTAGTGGTGGCGGTCGTGTTTGGGAGCGGTGGTGCAGCGATGACGATTATTTGAGCCGGTCCTGGGCCTCCCCTAGGTCGACTCGGCCTAAAATGAGTACCTGGTGCAGTGTGTATAGTAAACATCAACACTGGGGGAGACAAAGACGGCCGGGCGTGGTGCTGGCCACCCACGCCCTCGTGTGCCACAGTGCCGGCCTTCAAAGCTGCATCTACTCGCTAACGGCACTTGCCCCCAGCAGTCTGTTAAAGGCTACACGGGGGAGCTTTGTCTTTGTGGCAGTGGAGCTGTTAGCGCTGTGTTACAAACCCAGCGACCCGAGTTCGATTCCCGCTCACGGCCACCAACGCCAGTGACGATTATCTGAACTGGTCCTGGGCCTCTCCTAGGTCGACTCAGCCTCAATAGAGTGCCTGGGTGCGGTGAGTTGTCCCCTCTTGCTCCGTGCCGGCCTTCATCGGGAGCACCACGGTGGCTTAGGGAGATGTTAACTCCATCGCCTGGTATGCAGGAGGGATCGTGGATTCGATCCTGACCCTGGCGATGCCTGCTGTTCTAATGGAGTTTGCGTGTCTCTCTGCCCGTGTTGGTCGCATTTTGCTCTCTCCGTCCGTATTCAGAATCAACGTCACTGTGCGTTCAGAGTACTTTGCCCGCTGCTATAGATTTGCACGTGATGTGAAGCCACTTTCGTTGAGCTATCCTTTGTGATGGCCAGGTCGCTTCAGGAAAGGAACTACATAGCTCAGTGGAGTCCTTACACCTGGCCACAAATAAGTAATATTTAAAAATACTTTTTTTTAAACTCGCTTTAATGAAATGTACCCTACTCTTAATGGCAGAACTCCACGACTCCGGGAAGTGGCCGCAAGGCTTGCCATAGCGTAAGGTACCATGGTGATTTACAGCCAACGTGAGTTGAGCGTGGACAGTTAGACCCAAGCCGAAACATAACATTTAAAATGAATGTTTAAAAATACTTTTTTTATTTTTTTGATAGAATATAGTTTTGTCATCAGTATGACATAAGTATACCAAGTTTGCAATCGATACCACATTGGGAAGTGGGTTAAAATTGAGTTACACGATTTGAGGATACGACAACAACGACAACAACAGACAGAGTGGGTTAAATAAAAGCGTGTAATAATAATAGTGTAGTAGGTGCTGCTACTTGCTACTAACAGCACTTGCCCCGACAGTCTGTTAGAGGTTATACGGGGGATCTTTGTCTTTGTGGTAGTGTAGCTGTTAGCGCGCTGCACTATGAACCCGGCGACCTGAGTTAGAGTCCCCACTCAGTTGAACATCTGAGAACGTTCGAACCATGTCCTGGGCCTCTTCCCCTAGGTCGACTCAGCCTCAAATGAGTACCTGGAGTGGCGATGTTTACTACACGTACAGCACCAGGTACACATTTGAGGCTGAGTCGTCCTAGGCGAGGCCCAGGACCCGTTCGAATATTCGCTATCACTGTGTCTATTGGTGGCCGTGAGCTCAAACCCCTACGCTAATGCAGAGACCCATAGCCCCACGCATAGCCCCATAGACTCACACAGAGACCCATACACTCGTACAGAGACCCATAAACTCACACAGAGACCCATAGCCCCACGCATAGCCCCATAGACTCACACAGAGTCCCATAGACTCGTACAGAGACCCATAAACTCACGGACGTCATCGCAGCGATGCACCAACCCTACTCCTGATGCAAATCTTTAGTTTCATTAACCACCTCTCTAATCACTAGCCCCGTGTCTCCACCCCCCCCCTTGTGTCAACCCCTCTCCCTCCCAATCTCCCCTCCTCTCACCCTCCCCTCCCACGTGTATCAGGCGGAGGGCGCTGTGCCCCGGACCATGGATGAGTCCCCGGGGGATTCTGGTGGCGGTGGCGGCGGCGGTGTGGTGGCTGTGGCACCCCCCCCGACACCCCCACCCCTGCCTCCTCCCCCCCCACCCCCCGCCAGCCCCTCCCCCACGGGGGCCCCCACCCCTCCGTCGTCCACCACCTCCTCCACCTCGTGCTCCTCCTCGTCGTCCGCCACTCCCAAGAGGCTCCACGTCTCCAATATCCCCTTCCGCTACCGTGAGCACGACCTGCGGGCCCTCTTCACGGTGAGCTAGGCACAGCTCACACGCTCACCAACACGCTCACCAACACACTCGCTCACCAACACACTCGCTCACCAACACACTCACCAACACACTCACCAACACACTCAGTCACTCACCAACACACTCGCTCACCAACACCAACACACTCACCAACACACTCACCAACACACTCAGCAACACACTCACCAGCGCACTCACCAACGCACTCGCCAACACACTCGCTCACCAACACACTCACTCACCAACACACTGGCTCAGCAACACACTCACCAAGACACTCACTCACCAGCACACTCAGCAACAGACTCAACAACACACTCGCACACCAACACACTCGCTCACCAACACACTCGCTCACCAACACACTCGCTCACCAACACACTCGCTCACCAACACACTCGCTCACCAACACACTCGCTCACCAACACACCAACACACACACCAACACACTCACCAACACACTCACCAACACACTCACCAACGCACTCACCAACGCACTCAGCAACGCACTCACCAACGCACTCACTAACACACTCGCTCACCAACACACTCACTCACCAACACACTCGCTCACCAACACACTGACTCAGCAACACACTCACCAACACACTCACTCACCAGCACACTCAGCAACAGACTCAACAACACACTTGTACACCAACACACTCACTCACCAACACACTCACTCACCAACACACTCAGCAACACACTCAGCAACACACTCAGCAACACACTCAGCAATACGCTCAGCAACACGCTCACCAACACACTCAGCAACACACTCACAAACAGACTCACAAACAGACTCGTCAACACGCTCACTCACCTTCACACTCACTCACCTATTCACTCACCTACTCACTCACCAACACACTCACCTACTCACTCACCAACACACTCACCAACACACTCACCAACGCACTCACCCACTCACCTACTCACTCGCTCACCTACTCACTCACCAACACACCCACCCACTCACTCACCTATCCCAACCACCCAGTCACTCGCCCATCCTCCCACTCACGCATCCGCCCACTCACCCACTCACTCACTCAACCATTTACCAACACACTCACCAACACACTCATCCACTCACTCACAACACACCCACCCACTCACCCACCCACCTGCTCACCCATCCACTCACTTACCCACTCGCCCACCCATCAACCCACTCACGCAACCACTCACAAACACACTCACAGACTCACTCACCAACACACTCACCCACTTACCCACTCACGTATCCGTCCACTCACTCACCCACCCTCTCGCTCACCCGCTCTCTCACCCGCTAACCCACTCATTCACTCACCAACAGTCACCAACTCACTCACTCACCCACACTCACTCACTCACCCACCCACACACCCACTCCCTCCCTCACTCACCAACACTCACCAACTCACTCACCAACTCACTCACTCAACTACCCACTCATCCACTCACTCACATACTCACTTATCCACCCATTCACTCACCCACCCACTCACCCATCCACCCACCCACTCACCCACCCACCCACTTACTCACCTACCCACCCACCCACTTACTCACCTACCCACCCACCCACTTACTCACCTACCCAACCACCCAGTCACTCACCCACCCTCCCACTCACCCCCTCATTCACTCACCCACCCACTCACTAACCACTCACCCACCCACCTATTCACTCACTTACCCGCCCACCCACTCACTCTCCCACCCATCCATCCACCCACCCACCCACTCACTCACCCAATCACTCACCCACTCACTCACCCACTCACTCACTCACCCACACTCACTCACTCACTCCCTCACTCACCAACACTCACCAACTCACTCACCAACTCACTCACTCAACTACCCACTCATCCACTCACTCACTTATCCACCCATTCACTCACCCACCCACTCACCCATCCACCCACCCACCCACTTACTCACCTACCCACCCACCCACCCACTTACTCACCTACCCAACCACCCAGTCACTCACCAACCCTCCCACTCACTCACCCCCTCATTCACTCACCCACCCACTCACTAACCACTCACCCACCCACCTATTCACTCACTTACCCACCCACCCACTCTCCCACCCATCCATCCACCCACTCACCCACTCACTCACCCAATCACTCACTCACCCACTCACTCACCCACTCAGCCCACTCAGCCACTCACACACCCACTCACTCACTCACCCACCCACCCACCCACATATTCACGCACCCACCCACTCATTCACACACCCACCCACTCATTCACACACCCACCCACTCAAACACCTCAACCAACCATCCACTTACCCACTCGCCCAACTACCCACTCACTCTGTGTCGTGATCTCTGTGTTGTCTCTGCCAGCGCTTCGGAGCGATCGTTGATGTGGAGATCATATTCAATGAACGAGGCTCCAAGGTACACAACCCCCAACAACAACCACACAGCCACACACCCACACAACCGCACAGCCACAAAGCCACACAGCTGTACAGCCGCACAGCCACACAGCCACATACCCATACAGTTTTTGGTGCAGTGTTGAATCTGTGGCCAGTGTTGAGTCTATGGTTCAGTGTTTAGTCTATGGGTAGTGTTTATTCTAAGGTGCAGTGTTTAGTCTATGGGTAGTGTTGATTCTATGGTGCAGTGTTTAGTCTATGGGAAGTGTTGAGTTTGGTGCAGTGTTGAGTCTATAGACAGTGTTGAGTCTGGTGCATTGTTCAGTCGATTGTGCAGTGTTAAGTCTATTGTACAGTGTTAAGTATATGGGCAGTGTTGTCTCTGGTCAATGTTGAGTGGAAGGACAGTGATGAGTCAGTGGTGCAGTGCTGAATCTGGTGCATTGTTCAGTCTATGGTGCATTGTTGAAACTATGGTGCAGTGTTGAGTACGGGCAGTGTTGACTCTATGTGCAGTGTTGAGTCTATGGGTTGTGTTGAGTCTAGG